CACAGTTCACCATGTGACATCTGAGTCCCTCTATACAGCGCTTACCCCCTGTGCTGTGGGGCTAGCCCTCTTTTAGGAATGGGAACATGTGGAAGGGAAGGTGGAGAGGCTGCATTTCTGTCACTTACTAATTCAGCCCCAAATTAAACCTGGTTCACATTAAGAAATGAGAGCTGTGGTTATCTCAAGACAACAAAGTTTTTGTCTTTCGAGGTCTGTTTATTTCTCTACTGCTTAAGAGATGGCATCTCAGTGGCTAAGACTAGGGACTCAGTTTGTCTGAGTTTGAGTTCTAGCTCTACCAACTCACTTTTAGGGCATTTTGAAATAATTTGTATTTAAATTTGGTAGCTTAGGAAGGAATGTAAAAAACAAAAAAGGGGCCAGCAGGTGGCGTGGTGGTTAACAGGCTGGTCTCCCACATGGCTGAACATGGTTTGAGTGCCAGGCCTGGCTACTTGAAAATCATGCCAGGGACATGTGTTATGTGCCCAAAATCCTGAGAGGGGAATGGAGGAGAAGGGATTGCCACATGGCCGTACCCTTTGGGGGATGACTTGTCACTTTCCATCTCTCTCTCTCTCTGATGAGCTCATGTGCCCCATGGCAAAAACCTAAAAAACAAAACAAAACAGAACCCCCAAAATATAAATAAAATAAACAAAAATCATGTAAAAGACAGTGACGTGATCTGGGTACCTGTTGACTAAGGAACAGAGCTGACAGTATTTTACAGAGAAAATGATCCATGGATAGAGTTAAACACCGCTCTAAAAATATGAGGAGAAAATTCAGCTTAATTTGATAAATGTTTAGGACCCTGCCATCAGAGAATGTATAATCTATTGGAAAAATTTTAAATCTAATGACCAATGCACCTAAGAAAAACTTCAAAATTGAGTTGAAAGGGGTCAGTAGATGGCGTAGCAGTTATGTCGCTGGTCTCCCACATGGCCAGTTGTGTTTGAGTCCTGGACTCGGTGACTTGAAAATCACAGCAGGCATCCACATGTGTGTGCCCAAGATCCCTGGAGGAGAAGGGATTGCTGCGTGGCCATCTGTCCTGGGGGCTGACTTTTCACTTCCCTCCCTCCCTCCCTCCCTCCCTCTCTCTCTCTCTGGTAAGCACATGGACCCTAAAGCAAAAACCTCTTTTAAAAAAATTGAGGGACCAGCAGTTAGCGTAATGGTTATGTCGCTGGACTCCCACGTAGTTGACTGCAGTTCGAGTCCCGGGCCCGGTGGCTTAAACTCACGCCGGGCGCTTGTGCGTGTGTGCCCAAGATCCCGAGAGGAGAATGGAGGAGAAGGGATTGCGGCATGGCAATCCCCCCTGGGGGGTGATTTCTCGCTTTCTGTCTCTCTGTCTCTCTGTCTCTGTCTGTCTGGCGAGCGCACGTGCCCTATAGCAAAAACTTCACCAAAAAAATAAATAAATAAATAAAATTGAGTTGGGGACCAGCTGGTGGCGTGGTGGTTAAGGCACTGGACATTCCCACATAGCTGACCATGGTTTGAGTCCTGGACCTGGTGGCTTGCTTTCTCACTTTCCCTCTCTCTTTCTTTTTCTCTGTTTCTCTCTGGTCAAGGTAAAAGAAATGAATAAATAAAGATTTTTTTAAAATGCTATTAAGGAAACCAGAAGATTCTGTAAAAAAAAAATTTTTTTTGAGTTGAACAAGACACACCTGACTTGTTGAAGCAACTTGGTTCACACTGTGGAGCTCTGACTTGGAACGATACCAAGGTCCCTTGCACTATATCTTGTAAATGAGAAAAGCAGTACTCTGATAACATGTTTTATTAAGGCTCCCATCTTATCTTAGAATTGCATGAATTTATAAAAATGAGGCATTGCAAGAACAAATGCAGAGCAGCCAGATGAGTTTTCCTTCCCTCGGTACAGCCACAGTCCCCATCTCCTCCTCCCTGTAGAGCTGCCGCGGCTGTTCCTTTTGCTTAGGAATCCAGGGTTGGAGTAGATAGTAACGGTACTTGATATGAAGTCCTTATGCAAATTCCACATTTCTTAATGTCAGCAAGGGCCCAGCTTCCTTTTTTTGGCAAGGTCTCAGGTACATTCATTCATTCATTTGGGAGGCAGTCTATTGAAATTAATAATAGCTAAAACATACTATGTACCGTGCAGCTGTACTAATCTAAGCTTTATATATAGTAATTCATTTAATTCCCACAGCAATCCTTTCATGTAGGTTATTCACAAGTTATTATTACTATTACATTTATTATTCATGATAGGTGGCAGAGGCTGGACTTCAACCCTGACAGTCAGCTTCAGAGATCATGCTTATTTATTTATTTATTTACACATGCACGCATGCGTGCATGCATGCTATAGGGCATGAGTGCTTGCTAGAGAGAGAAAGAGAAATCACTCCCCGGGGGATGGCCATACCACAGTCCCTTTTCTGTTCTCATCTTGGGATTTTGGGATGTGCACACACATGTGCTGGCATGTTTTTTTTTTTTTGGAGAGATTTTCACTATAGGGCGCGTGCGCTCGCCAGACAGACAGAGGGAGACATTAGAGACAGAAAGCGAGAAATCACCCCCCAGGGGGGATGGTCATGCCGCAGTCCCTTCTCCTCCATTCTCCTCTCGGGATCTTGGGCACACACGCACACGCACACGCACACACGCCCGCCGTGCGTTTTAAGCCCCCGGGTCTGGGACACGAACCGCGGTCAACTACGTGGGAGTCCAGCGACATAGCCATTACGCTAACTGCTGGTTCCCTCATGTGCTGGCATGTTTTTCTAGCTGCTAGGTCTGGGACCGAAACCGTGCCTTTGGCCATGTGAGATCCAGATGGCTTAGCCCGAACCCCACTGGCTGGCCCAATGCTCTTTAACTGCTCACTGCTTTATACAACCCCAGGCTCTAGAACTCATTCCCTCTGAGTTCAAATTCGAGGTCTTTGACTTAAAACTTGTATGAATGACCTCGATCAATTACTTGTCTCCTCTGAGTCTCAAGTTCCTCATCTGTGTGTTGTATTGCACGTAACCTACTTTTGTCCAGTCTAAGCCCATAGTAAACACCATGCAGTTAGCTTTTATTAACTGGCCGTTCATTAGAAACATACATTTAGAGTGCCTGCTATGTGCTTGCTCTTTCAAGGAGCATTCATGTGGTTTTTCTCTTTTCTAAAATGGCTCAGCTACTTTATTTATTTCATTTTATTTTTATTTTTTTGAGAGGTTTTTGCTATAGGGCACGCACACTCACCAGAAAGAGAGAGACAGAAAGTGAGAAATCAGGGGATGGCCATGCTGCAATCCCTTCTCCATTCTCTTGGGATCTTGGGCACGCACACCCGTATACCTGGTGCGAGTTTAAGCTGCCAGGTTCAGGACATAAACCGCAGTCGACTACATGGGAGTCTGGCGACATAGCCATTATGTCAACTGCTGGTCCCAATGGCTCAGGTACTTTAATGTCTGCCTCTGAAGATTATAGCTGATAGAGGATATGTTTGATTTTGTATTTCCATCATTTACCTTCCTGTGGGTGAGTCTGGAAAAAAATACAGAATTTGGTCAGACAAGGGAAGAATGGTTATGTTGACTCATTATTCGTTGTTCAGGTCACAGTTAATTAAGTCAGAGAAGTAAAAACAGGTTACTCCTTGATTGAAATATGACCATCCTCTATCTGGAAAGGTATTTGTCCTGTTCGAGTTTATACCTATAGATTCAGAAAGCTATATGTGGAACAGGAGGGGACACCAACTCAGCCAGCCAATTCCAGTAACTCAGCCCTAGCCATTAGGGAAGTGATAAATATGGCAGCCAGATTACTCTCACATTACCACCCCACTGCAGGTTTTAAATAAATGAAAAACTGGGCTAGCTGGTGGCAAGGAGGTTAGGGTAGCTGGATCCCATATGACTGATTTTCTGGTTTGAGTCCCAGACCTGGTGGTTCAAGAACCATGCAGATGTGTGTGACCAGAGAGGTGAATGAAGGAGAAGGGATTGTGGGTCATGCTCCTCTGCACTCCTTGGGGTGAGTGATTTTTCACTTTCCCTCTCTGTCTCTCTCTGGCAAGCGCATGTGCTCTATGCCAAAAACAAACAATAACAACAACAAAAACTTAAAATGATTCAAAAACTAAGTTATGGAAACTTATCAACAGTGGGGAGGGAAAACTCAAGGCTGAGAAGGAATGTTAGAAAGTGAAAAAAAAAGTTAAAGAATTCCCAGTGAAAATATAAGGAAAGGCTTACAGAATTCTCTCAACTATTGAGTCATTGGAAAAATCATGTCACATTTTTGCATATAAAAACATAGAAAAATATGTCATGACTTTTCTGACAACCCAATAGTTGAGAGAATTCTATATAAGCCTTTCCTTATATTTTTCTCTATGCTAACGATTTTTTTAAAACTCATTATAGGATATGTGCATTCCCCAGAGAGAGCAGAGGGAAAGTGGGGAAGCACCTTCCACCCCGAGGGGGTGGGGGAGGAATGGCCGTACTAAAATCCCTTCTCCTCTATTCTCCTGTGGGGATTTTGACATGCACACACATGCACCCAGTGTGTTTTTCAAGTTGCCAAGTCCAGGACTCGAACTGTGTAGTCGGTCATGTGGCATCCAGCCACCTCAAACCTCAACCGCCACATCACGTCCTGGCCCTCTGAGGGTGTTTTTAACAAAAGGTGCGTGCGCTCGCCAGAGAGACAGAGACAAGAGAGACAGAAAGCGAGAAATCACCTCCCAGCGAGGATGGCCACACCGCAATCCCTTCTCCTCCATTCTCCTCTCGGGATCCTGGGCACGCACGCACACATACCCAGCGCGAGTTTAAGCCACCGGGTCCGGGAATCGAACCGTGGTTGACTACATGGGAGTCCAGCGACATAGCCATTACACTAACTGCTGGTCCCTTCTTAGTGCTATTCTGAGGTGTATCTTTATTCCTTTTATTTGTGTTTTCTAATGAGTTTGATCTGTGTTCTTCCCTTCTTTACAGTCCTGAGGCTTTCTACGAATGCGGGCCAGTGGAAGGAAGCAGCTAGCAAGGTGACCCATGCATTGGTTAATATCAGGTAAGGAATTTTTCCCTTTCAGAATTCCTTGGCTCATCCTGAAGTTTATCGTATCTTTCTAAGAAGAGTATGTTGAACATCCCTATTTTAAGCCCTGATGTCTGTAGGAGTGGAAGAAATTGTTGGACTAGATCAAGAAAAAAAGCAGGAACATGGAAGGCTCATTTTGTCATATTGAAATAGCACAAAGCGCTGGCTGTTGTATGTTTTTTTCTCAAGAGATGGTTGCAAGCCCTTTTCAGGCATCTTAGTTGCCACAGTATTTGCAGCATGTAGGCAATGGGAAAGCTTTTCTCTGAAGAGTATTTCTGCAGTTCTCCATGGCTTAAGTGAATGACTCATGGAGATCTAGAACTTTGACATTTTACTTTACATGGCTATTTCTATTTGTGGTAAACAGAGGCAAATGGAGTCCGTGGGGCTAAGTGACTTCGTGTTCTTTATGAAATGGCAAGGCAATTACAGACTGCGTGTGTGTTGGGTAGAGTGTGTCAGGCATGGAGGTAGTCAGGGTCTTGAGGCCCGAGCTGTCGGGAAATGGAGAGCAGGGAGTACTTGCTGATGAAACCTCAGTCTGGCTTTTCTATTTTTTGCATCCTTTGTGCCTATGATTTTTCATTTTCTCAACAGTTATTAAATTGATTTTGCAAACAATTGAAAAAATTAACACTGAGTAAAAGAGGCAAACCCAACAGATGGGGACCTTGATTTAGCTCTGGATGTAAGCCTTGCCAGACGTTCCCAGTAATAGTAACGCAGTTTACAACTCGGTATAGAATCTGTGCGTGCCAGAGCTGGGATACGATGTTTGTTTCTGTACCTCTTTTCAGTTAAGGCAAAGTGTCCTGTGCCTGCAGTGATTACCCCAGTGTTGGCACATCTGGGGATGAAAGGGAAAGTGTGAAATTTGTGTGTTAGGAGAGCTGGATGAGGGAGCATAGGGTTAGATGTGCTAACAAGATTGCAGTGAAGGTTGGTCTGCTTACCTGTCACCAGAGACATTTTGCAGCAAGCACAATTTTATAAATCTCTCAAATAAATGCATATCTGCACTTAGCAAATAATCCAGATACTGGGGTAAAGCCTTATGATAAATGTGATTTTCTGTAAGAATCAGAAGTTATAAACTGCCTTCTCCCAAATATCCCTTTGTGACCGAAGGGCAGCATGACAAATGTGGGTGTTTTGAGTGAAGCACCAGGTTCTGAGCTAGAGTATGAAGTGCATGCGGGTCTAATTTATGTTGTGTTTATTTATTCATGTATTTACGTGGGCTTTCCAGGCAGCTCCTTTCCATCTGGGGCCTGTTTCCTTGATCACATTTCTTTGTGCTTGCTTTACCTCTGGCTTTGTTGCCTTTCCTTTCAGTGGTTTCTGGCTTGGCTGCTGCTTTTATTCTTCCCAAGGGCCATCAAGCAGCTGATTTAAGCTTTTGGCCTCTCCTTTTTCTGAATAGCCGAGAAATTGGGCTGAGCCTTTAACAAATGCTTGTAACAATGACACCCTTCCTTCTCCTTGCGTGGCTGTCAGGCCTGTACCTTCATTTTCATTCCTCAGACTTCTCTGGTGATTTGCTGCAGAAAATAATCACGTCATTTTCACTGCTGCCAATGAATGGAACTCGGGGTATAAGCCTAAAGTAGCAAAGGCTCAGTCAGTGTTCTCAAGAGATTACTAGAAAGATGCAAAGCCAGATTAGGCAAAAATATTGGTGGTATTAAACCTACAAAAGTTTACCTTTTTTTCCTTTCTGACTTCTGTTTTCAGTTACTATAATAAGTGCCAGACTTTGTATTGTTCTTTCATATATAATCTTCTTTAATCCTTATACTATAGAGTGTATTTTATACTTTTCGAATAGTTTTTTTAAACCAGTGAGGAAATTGAGGATCCCACAACTGCTGTGTGGCAAAGCTGAGTTTTGTTATTTTTTTGAGAAGTTTTCGTTATAGGGCGTGTGCGCTCCTCAGAAAGACAGAGAGAGACAGAGAGAGATAAAGTAAGAAATCACCCTTCGGGAACCAGCAGTTAGCGTAATGGCTATGTCGCTGGACTCCCATGTTAGTCGACTGCGGTTTGCGTCCCGGACCCGGTGGCTTAAAACTCATGCCAGGCGCGTGTGCATGTGTGCCCAGGATCCCGAGAGGAGAATGGAGGAGAAGGGATTGCGGCGTGACCATCCCCCCGGGGGTTGATTTCTCGCTTTCTGTCTCTATGTCTCTCTCTGTCTGTCTGGCGAGGGCATCGCCCTATAGTGAAAATCCCTCCAAAAAAAAAAAAAAAAGAAATCACCCTTCAGGGGGGTGGCCATGCCCCAATCCCTTCTCCTTTTTTTTTTTTTTGAGACATTTTTTGTTATAGGGCGTGTGCGCTTGCCAGACAGACAGAGACAGAGAGATAGAAAGCGAGAAATCACCCCTCAGGGAGGATGGCCATGCAATCCCTTCTCTTCCATTCTCCTCTTGGGATCTTGGGCATGCACGCACACGTGCCAGGCGTGAGTTTAAGCCACCGGGTCCAGGACTCAAACCACGGTCGAGTACGTGGGAGTCCAGTGACATAGCCATTACGCTAACTGCTGGTCCTCCAAGCTGAGAATTATTAATCATAGGTGTTCTAACTCCCATGTCAGGTCTTTTTCTTCCACACCTTTTACAGAGTTGTACCAGAAACTACTGTGGAGGTAAACAGAAAACATGTGATGTATTGAAAGAAGCATGGAAACTTGAGTTAGAAAATCTGAATTTTTTCGTGTCCCAGCGGAGTCGCCAAAAACAAACAAACAAAAAAGAAAAACTGAATTTTTAATTTTTGTTTGTACGACTGTGTGACCTTGATCAAGTTACTTAGCTTCTCTGGATCTGTTTCCACCATCTATAAAATGGGTTGATGGTGGGATCACCCGTTTCACAAGGTAATAATTATGAGACTGACATAATATAATCTGTACAAAAGTTATTAGTAAAGTATAGAATACTGATTATTTCACTTAGAATAGTATCTTCAGAGTTCATCCATGCCATAGCATGTATCTGAATTTCCTCTCTTTTTAGTGTGTGTATGTGTACATACCAGGTTTTGTTTTTTAAAGAATTATTTTACTTAATTTATTGTAAACAATGCTGATGTGAACGTGGGTGTACAGCTGTCTGCCTGAGACTGTGCTTTCACTTCTTTTGGGCATGTCCCCAGAAGAGGAATTGCAGGATCTTACAGTAATTCAGTGCTTAATTTTTTGAGAAATTGCTATATAGTCTTTGAGGTTTAGCTTTTTTTTTTTTTTTTTTAGTATATAAACGATTTCTTAACAGACAAGGCTTACAGACTTCATTCTTCTTGGATACCCATGGTACAGCCACAACGGCCAGTTGTCTTAGTGTGCTGGCCTCGGACCCAAAGGCCCCAGAAGTGGCCCAGCCCTCTGTGGGCCCATATCTTCTTCAGTCTCTCCAGGTCTTCACGCAGCTTGTTGTCCAGACCGTTGGCCAGGACATGGCTGTAGTTTACGTCCTTTACATCTTTCTGCCGGTGCAGGAACCAGTCTGGGATCTTGTCCTGGCGTGGATTCTGCATAGTAGTGGTCACACGTTCCACCTCCTCCTCAGTGAGCTCTCCTGCCCCCTCGGCGAGGTCTGTGTCTGCTTTCCTCAACACCACATGAGCGTATCTTCGCCCCACACCCTTGATGGCAGTGATGGCAAAGGCCGCCTTCTGCCGCCCATCGATGTTGGTATTAAATACTCGCAAAATGTGCTGGAACTTCTCAGGGATCACCAGAGACATGGCGGCGGCACGAGGGGCGGCGTGTAGGACTCCTGTGGAAGAGCAGGTTTAGCATTTTGAGCTTTCTTTAGAGTGTTTCCTAAGTACAGCTTCGTTTTCTCCTCTGTAAAAGCGAGGATATTACCTTAGCCTTAAAAGATGTTTTGCTGGGAACCAGCAGTTAGCGTAATGGCTATGTTGCTGGACTCCCACGTAGTCGACCGCGGTTCACGTCCCGGACCCGGTGGCTTAAAACTCACGCCGGGCGCGTGTGCGTGAGTGCCCAAGATCCTGAGAGAAGAATGGAGGAGAAGGGATTGTGGCGTGGCCATCCCCCCTGGGGGGTGATTTCTCGCTTTCTGTCTCTATGTCTTTCTCTGTCTGTCTGGCGAGTGCACGTGCCCTACAGTGAAAATCTCTCTCAAAAAAAAAAAAAAAGATGTTTTGCTTTTCTTCGCAGGTAGACCTTGATAGATTTGGATGAGGGTTGTCCAGGGAGGATTTTTTCCCCCCTGAGAGTCAGAATTCTTTTAGCTGAAGACAAATAAAATAAAAATTTAAAAGAAGTAATAAGGCTGCACTCCACTGAGCGAGTGGTAATGAGTGCTGCCTCATGTTTTTCCTTTCTCTAAGAGCTGGTGTTGTACTTCCCTGAAACTTTGGTACTTTAGAAAACAAGAACCTGTGTCCTGTGGGACCCCAGGGATACTGTGAGATCTTTATCAACCACCACTCTGATCGTCGAGGATAACATATGTAAAGACTTGTGATGTATAGCATTTGATTCTGCTCTTTATAAAGGTTACTTGTGCTGATCTCACATCTGGAAAGGATTTCTAAAGCAGAGTGAACGCTCCTGTAGTATGTTCTTTGATAGCCGTGGGAAGGGCTCGGGTTTCATGTGAGGTTTTCAGACACCTAACAGCTGGGAGGCCTCCCAGACTGGCTTGCCAGTTGATGACAGCTCCAAATGATGTCTTTGGGATCTCCTGTAATGCAGTGCATCTAATGACTAAACCCTAATAAAGTGTCTCCCCAGCAGGTGAAAGGCAGCAGAAAGATCTCAGACCTTCTGTGCTAAGAATACTCAGCTTAGGTAGTGACAGTCAAATTACAAGTCCTTCCACACGCTTGGAGGCCTAAATTTGCTCAGGTGTCAGTCTTTGCTTTTCAGTTGTCTGTCGTGGCTTAGTCATGCCAGTTCTTTAATTGTCAAAGTTATTTGTGTTTAAACAATT